CAAGCTCTCCAAGACAAGGGTGGCATCCAATTAACAAAAATAAATGTCCTAATTGAGGAAGTGCATAAATGATGCAGACTTCCCTTTTGTATGAAAACAAACAGAGATTTGTAGATGGGGATATTTCAGGGACTCGTGACTAGTATAGTATAGTAGAGTGGAATAGAATAGAGTAGAGTATAGTGTGTGTTTGTGAACATGAGGATGGATGGATGGATGGATGGAGGGATGGATGGATGGATATTTGTATTCCCCTGGCAGAAATCACGCCAAACCCTCTTCTGTATAAACATCCTACAGTTTGTGCAGCTAAACCCACTGCTTGCGTGTCATTTCATTTTAACATTACTAGCCATTCTATCCAAATCCAACCTGCTGTAAGAGCAAGATTATTTCTAAACAAATGTTTCATTTACTCCCTGTCTACTATCAGTTTCAATTAGTCTATGAAGAAATGGACAGTGAATGAAGTAAATTCCCCAGTACACTAATACTGTATGACAGCAACGCCAGTGGACAGGCATTCCAGATTCTGCATATGCCAACAGTACCGGCACAGATTCCAGCACGCCCCTGCCACTGCAGAACTCCGCGTTACAGGGGGAATGCCCTCCACGCAGACAGTCAGGTCCCAGCCTGCACGGAGAGAGGAATTGAGTGCAGGGAGCTAACCAGGAACACCGGAGTGCCGAATCATCGTGCCTCCCAGCAGGAAGACTGCAGCCCCACTCACAATATGAGCTTACTTTGTCAGTAAAAGGTCAATTCCACATTCCAATAATTACCCATCATTTGCCATTGTTCAGAATCTTTCACATAAGGTCCAGTGTCAAGTTTTTGAGTGTGTGTATATGAGAATATAAACAGACAGGACTGAGACGGCACATCCTTGAGGGTTTAGAACGTATCAGGGTGTGGAGCAGACCTTCTAGAGTCCTGAGATTAAGTCAGAGGCGTGTGACACCCCTGCAGAAGCCAGTGAGCAGATAACTGCTCATGTTCTTCCAATACAAAGGTCCGCATTCCTGAGGCCATCGTAGAACCAGCCTTAATTACAGGCTCACCGTCTCACTTCACCGTGAAGACCTGCACTCGGCCCACAGAACATGGAGAGATGGCCTTCTGCAGACCAGACAAGCACTCAGGCAGAAAACCAGCCATCGGCGGTATAGAGAATCACCTCCACAAAAGGGAAACGTGAGCCTCCGTCTAACATGGACAGCCACACCTGTGCCGTTACGCTGAAAAGCCAGAGCTTATGGGCACATGGATGCAGCGGGTGGCTTAGTCACCTAAGTCTCCATGCTTGTGCTGAGACAGTCGCCGGTTTGAGTCCAGCCTCAGTAGCACAGTCACATCTGTGGGCCCTTGAACAAGACCCCTATCCCCCACCTTGGATGTAGATGGCTGTCCTTTGCTGCCAAGCTTGCTCTCACCTACATAAGTGTCTACATGATGAGGTAGGCAAACAGAGCTTCTCCTCACAGGGACCAATAAAATATCATCATTTCATATACATACCATCTGTTTCATCTTATTCAACATAACAGAATGACATTTTGAGAAATTTATTCACAACTGACTTACATGGCACGCAAAAATTGTTACAGTACATCTGATATCATCTGGAGTTAAGTCTAGATTTATTCAACCATGAAGGTATTTCACCCTTGGGATCAATAAAGATTATCTAATATAATTTAATATGAATGGAGTTTCTGAAAACAACAAAGAACCGACTTCTGCTAAGGAGAAACATCCTGTATAAATTATACAAAACACAGAAAACTCAGTTTTTGTGCTTTGCTTTTCACTGGTGCAAGACACAGCAGGAGAAAATCTGAGGGAAGCCGCAGATTAGAATAGGAGACACTGACTAAGACTCAGAACAGATGGGCAGTCCATCAAACGTTTGCAGGGGGTTGTGAGCTCGCAATGCTTTCGCGGGGTGCAATCAAAGCAGCCGCACATGTTTACTCAACACGCCACGCTATTTGGGCCTGTTTGAGGCTGATGCTTCTCACAGGTTGGATCAGATGCACACGCACAAGGGAATTAAACAAATTCAGGATGTTTCACTGCGAGACTGCAGAGCAGTAAGTAATTCTGAGGAACATCTAGAGAAGATGTAGAAAGATTTATAAAAGCAGGAGGTAGGGTTAGGGAGGATTAACGGCTGATTATTTTAAGGACTCTGAAAACCAGACGGTACCTTCTTCAGCTAATTTATATAGAAATAGTAAAATATCCTGCGGGGGTTTAAAAATAAGATAGAGAATGGCGAGAAATGGGAGTCTTGCAATTAAACAGCCCCCCCGTTCCTGTGTGTGGGACACAGTTAATCGTCAGGTCTCCATCCTTTCCCTTTCTGCAGAGAGCATGTATATTTTGGTCTATGCCATTTCACACAGGAATGTTCATTTGTGATTCAGCCTCAGCAGATTTGTTTCACCGTGCAGAGAGGAAGCGAGACCAGAGTGAACCGTAAGTTTCCCTTTCCGTAAAAGTGCCAACAGTGTCAGGGGAATAAAATAAGGACCTGAATCAGCATGTGGAGGGGGTGCAAGGCAGGGGTCTTCCTGTGATGATGGGTGGGTCTCTTCTAATTGGGAGGGCGGTAATACGGTCTGTAATTCCTGTGAGACAGACCAGTGTTTCTCAAGTCAGTCCTTGGGTAACCTCAGACAGTCCACATTTTTTCTCCCTCCCAACTCCCAGCCAATCGAGAACACAGAATACCTGCATGGTACAGGAGTACTATGAGCTGAAAGGGAGCAAAAATGTGGACTGTTTGGGGGTCATCGAGGACTGGTTTGACAGACACTGAGATAGACTGACATTCTGGCTCAGATATGAACTTGATTCAGTCCAGAGATTAACTTGTTATAATTTAAGAATCTCAAGAACATGTCTGGTGACAAAGACTGACATTTTATTCAGCTTCGCTCCTAGTTAATCTTCTTCATGATGCGTTAGATGTGTTTATAGATTTTGCATAGATGTTCTCAAAGCGTCACGTTTTGGTTTTCCAGAAAGGTATGCATTTGCACAGTCTACCTGCAGTCTGAGAAATGTACCACACGAAAGCATTTTGCCTGTACATGCAACTGTTCAACAGCCTGCCTTAAAACAAGATTCATCCAATCAGTGGAACAATAAGAGCAGTTACTTTAGTGGAGATCACCCCAATGCCCTAAGATGTCGCTCTCATTCTTTTCAGTAAATAGAGCTCCTGAATTTTTAATGAACTGGAATAAAGGCTCTAAATAGCCTTTTCCAAAATAGCTGTTTAAAGCGGGATTTTCTTTGGTCTCTTTAACACATGCAACCATGCATTAAGGATGCTGTCACATGACCGCCACTTCCGTGGTATTTACACACCTTAAGGGTCTACGGACACTGCAGAACTCTGGCACAAACAGCTGACTCTGGCGTATAAACCTGCGCTGCTTCCTCCTTACTGTCTGTATGTCACATTCACAAACGGAGCTATTGCTGCTCTATAGTCCAGGCGAAATGCCTGTCATGCCGCCCCCATTATCGCACGAGCGCTGCCCATTCTGTCGGGTTTCTCTCCTTTGTCATGCAAATGGAAAAACCCCTGCTGGATCATGTTCATATGAAAATATTGCCCTTTTCAGGAAAAACAAGGCAACTCGGGGCAGGTGGCAGATATTACCCTTATACGGGATACCCTAACGTGCCTTTGGAAAGCGCCTTAAAGGAGAATAGTATGAAAAACACAACACTGGACAGAAACGCACTGTTGTCTGTGAGTATTTACTGTAAAAATGCTGCATTCAGTGTCTGTTTGTATTTTTCCTTGACAGCCCAGCCCTAAATGTGGGAAACTCAACGCCTGACACCAGGGAGGCTGGACTTGCAACACCCCAACCAAGTTATGGTTTTATTGGTCATGCAGTGTTTTCACCTTTAGCAGAGCACAGAGACGGACAGGTTACTTTGAGCAGAAATGCCGTTTAAAAAAATGGTTTTGTTTTAAATTTAAGCGTAAAAGACGCTTCTTACCGTTCAGCGTTTTGTGCACATGAAACGGTCATACTATCATAAACTGTATCTGTCACCTACGCTCCACGCAGTCATCGCTGTGCACAAATAATGTCTCTCATGTACATCACTCAAGTATTATTTTTCCGTTTCTATTCCTATGTGTCGATTGCGGCCCGACGCGGGGACGCGCTTCCTCGGCGCTCCGTTACAGGGGCAGAGCGCGCGCAGGTGCCCGCTGATTCTCTTCACGCAAACACCGGGAAACACGCAAAGCGTCTCATTATCTGTCAGCACATGGAAGCTGATCAGCAAGCAGATGCCAGTGAACCGTGGCATATGAGGGAAGAAAGGGGTACAATGAAAAAGACCTACTTCATAAAATCATGTAACATATGTAACACAGCTGTAATCTTCCTACAAACGTCTTCAGTAACTTCAGTAAGTTGCTTCTCATAAATAAATCTCAGGCATACTACATAAAACAATAATAAAATAGTAGAAGCATATATATATATATATATATATATATATATATATATATAACCGCTATATGTATAGCGGTTATTTAAGTGATTCGGTTAACACCACCTGTGTGCAAAGTGAGGAGTATTCCCATCACTCTAACGCAAACCATTTACAAAAATAAGCAACTACACAATTAATTATGAAGATTACAAACACGTAATACAGCATCACGTAGTCGGCTCCAAGTCTATCCAGTCGAGAGTCAACAGCATTAAACAAGATTCAGTACCACTTAAAATACAAGAATCTAATAATATTAAAAAATAAACCATTCCGTTTCCTCCATATCGAAGAAGATGAAGTAAAGCATCGTGACAGTCATTCTTCCCACGGTGATACGCGATGTATTTACCTCCTTGCGCAGTGGGCAGCCAGCGCTCCCGATAGGCGCAGAGAATATTGCGTCTCAATAATTTACCCTTAAAAAGAGGTATGAAAATGATCGCATATGGATGGCGGCGTACCTTTTACGTGCTTTTTCCTCCGTTACAGATTGTACAGTTATGGGTCCCCAGGTCTGCGGATGACGCTCTTCTGGAGCAAAGACGCACTAAACGACACCATGCGTCCGCTACTCAGCCCCGCAGCCGCCTCTCAGCTCCGAGCAGCGAGTGCATAAAGACGGCGGCGCTTAGGTACCGTCTCTAAACTCTCCGAGTACTGAAAGACTGCGGAGCTTAGGCATCATCTCTAAATTCTTCGTGCTCAGAAAAATGCTTAGGCACTGTCTCTACATGATCGTACTCATCAAAAACGAATACTCATTTTCAGAAGCATCGCAACAATTTAATGACTGTATAGTCAAATTAGTATTTACCAAATTTATACTCGCCCCACCTATTTCGTCTGATATGTATAGAATGGGGCTGAAGTGGTCACCAAATATTTTAATCAAGTATTTAATTAGATACTCAATAAGCAGTAAGTACAAAAGCATGTCACATTATTTAAATATTAATATACATATTTTCGGATAATGCTATTCATTATCAGAGGTTATTCCATGAATTAACTGACAAAAATCTATCATTCAAATAAATCGATTTAAATTTTTTGTTTGTAAAATTTTAGGCTACCTACACCGAACAGTGTATTTGCATACTTTATTGCAATCTTGTTGTTTATGTATTTGTGTTAATATTTTTCTTTCTGAAAAATATGAGGGTTAAGCGAACAAACCCTAGATTTGACCTGCTCGGTGCTCACTTTCATAACTTGATATATGTCGCCATCTTGTGGCCACTAATCTTTACAGTATTTAAATTTATCTTGGTTACTTAAGGCTTTTTCTCCTCATATCATTTTTTTTACAGTGCACAATGACTGTGCTTTGACGATAGGATTAAAGGAACAGATGTTTAGGAAAATTAGTAATTAATTTGGCAATGAAATTAAAGATAGGGTTGAGTTGGATATGAATGTGATATTATTGACAACTGTATATTTGTCAATATGTCAAATGTTTAAGAATCGACCAGCGGATAGGCCTATATTAATATTAATAATAACTTTTAAAATCCATAAATGAATGCTAAAAACAATTCTAATTTTAGTTGCTGTTTGTCTATTGTATTGTATATCATTTTGCTCAGAGCGTGTCAATGTCATACGTACATAATCACGCTATTCCAAAAATAATCACAATCTGCAATTTTTAAATTGTAAAAGCAATTTATATTTTACGTTATGTAAAATGTTCACTGAATGCTTCATCTGAAACGTATGTTTATTGCTAAGTACGTTTACATATAATGAATTTGTATGTAAATTAACCAGCAAAAATCTGTAAGGAAAATGTATGTAAATTAACTGGCAAAAATCTTTAAAATTTATTTGGGGTAGCATGTGGCTCAGCGAACAAACCCTCTGTGCACGTGATCAGAAGTTGGGGGAGGCATAAGTACAGCTTCCCCACGGGGATCATTTTTTAATATTATTATTACTTTGAATGTCCTGCAAAACAATCAAGGACAATCGATACAATATAATCAATAAATTATGCACATACAATTAATATCCATTATCATTGAAAAGGTTTTCATGCATTCGTTACCAGGTATATATGATTTGCCTGAATCTTTTAAAGAGATTGTCATTACTCTGACATGAGGACATATTTTTGTCTGACCACCAGGGGGCACCAGAAAACCAAAATTACGCAAAACAGGACAACAGTAGAGATGGGTGACACCGCTGATTTTTCGATCCAATACCAAGCAATTATCGAGGTGAATCTTATGCCCATGAGTCTTCCCCCCATCCCATGGGTAGGCCATGCCTGATAGTAGTTCATGTCGTGTTCCTTTTAATAGTATAAACATTTTAATTTATATAGAGGAGCCGTTATAGAAATGGATGGATAATTAAATGTAAAAAATCAATATTTTGATGTAAGAAACGATTTTCAAAATGAAAAATGCAGATAAAAAAATAATGGACTTTTTAATATCGATCCGCACATTATGTGGTCCGTTTTTTTCTAACCAAGCCACTTAGCAAAACGCCTTTTCGGTAACCCCCCCAGGTCCACAACTGCTATCGTGGCGCCCCCCGCCAGTCAAAAAGTCTCTGCACGGTCCTGACACATAATGTCACTACCAACAATTCCTAATTCATCAAAATGTATTTCAATGAAAATCTTAGTCTTCGTGTTTCACTTCGTCTTGGTGTTTTTTTCCAGCCAAAAAGACATAGATATTGCGTTGAGCCCGGGGTCTTCACTTCGGACAGAGATGTTTCCATTGTTTTCGTTGTTTCCCAAAGGAGGACGTCCCACGGTATAGCTCAGCCCTGAATTTCATGGACATTATACATTATAAAAATAATTTGGCACTTTCAACCTTCTCTCCATGTCCACAATTTAAAGTAACTAGATCTTCAGAAATGTCCAGTTTAACCAGCAGGCGTCATGGGCAGAAGCGGTGATAGGTCATTATACGAGTATAAAAAAGTGAAACTTTTAATATAATGCCTTGCATCACTTGGCTGTTGTCAGCATATTTTGATTGGTGTGCCAGTAATAATTTGAAGAATAGCAGTAAAGGTATATTATAATAACACATAATACAATAATAAAATAATAAAGTGACTAATTTACTAGATTACTAATAAGACACAACACCATGCTCAATTAGAATGAGTGATACAGCCAATTTTCTTTTCAGTCATATACTAAGTAATACCAAGGTTGGTATCACAATACTAATGCTGTTATTCAGTGTATTGACAATAAGATTTGCCAATGGGGCTGTGTACTGGGTCCCCTGTCATGGCAACAAATGTGACGATCCACTTGCGACTGAGAGACAGAGTTTATTAATAAACAGAACTGAACACCAAAAGGGGAAACTGCAAAATAAAGGGACCTCGAGGGGTCAAAGCAAAAAGAAGAAAAACAAGGATTAACAAACCAAAGAAACAATAACAACACAACTAGGGAGGAGGACGAGGGGAACCAAGCAGAGGAACATACACACAGGAACAGGAGTACAATGACTAACTAAAGAACAGAGTAGAAGCAGGCACTTCAATACAAACAGACAACCAGACTAACGAGGGGGCATATGTGGCAAATGAGAAAATTAACCAATCAACACGATACGGGGAAACGGGCAAGAGGTGGAGAAACTTGAACTCTCACAATCACCGAAACTAAGAACATTAATCACACACTGAGAATTATTACACTAGGAATAATTAACATGGAACCAAAATACAGAAGTGAACTAGACACATGCAGGGCAAACCAAAGATTGGGAAATCAAAAACAATGAAACAAACATGGGGGAAATAGAAATCCAACAAATACTATTAAACAGCAGATGGTCCACAGAGGACAGCCTTGAACTCATGACCAGTGGGTTAACAGTCCCTGAGTCACATGCTCAACCCACTGAACTATGCAGCAATCCTGGGAACCAACAGAACACACTAGAGCTGAAAGGCTAGGAGACAGAGATGGGGAAGAGGATGGCCAGCAACACCTGCTGGCCAAACACAGACATAACACATAGGACGGGATGGATACCTTTCATATCGAAAGAATCACCGTTTCAGTATCGATCTGCACATCCTTACAAAACAGCTTAAGCCTCAGAAAGGAAATATCAGAAATCCTGCAAATAGCACTGTTTATGTGTAATGTAAAAACTTGATCATATACATAATAACATCCCGACACTACTTTCAGCAGTTTGAATAGTATGAAATTCTTTTTTAATTAAAAACCTGCCTGCTTTGTTTGGAGTGGTGGATATATACTCACCTAAAGGATTATTAGGAACACCATACTAATACGGTGTTTGACCCCCTTTCGCCTTCAGAACTGCCTTAATTCTACGTGGCATTGAT